TTTCCATTGTGGCTTCTTCCAAAATCAACATTTTCTTCCTCTTTCAAGGTTAGGATTTGGAATGCATGCCTTCTTTATTTTATATCTAATATCCAGCCATTGTCCTATTATTATAATTATAGATTTGTTTCTTCCTTTGAGAATATTTGCATAAAGTACAATTTGAAATCTAGGTACTCATACTCTTATGGATCCTCTAGTGTTAGTTCTAACATGTTTTTTCTTGTTTTGTGTTTTTCCTTATAGTAATTCCTAGGCTCAATCCAAACTTTAGGTTTATAAAAGTTTTGTCTTTGATAAGTATTGACTTTAGTTTCTGAACCTTTCAGAATATTTGGTCCATAGGTCCTTTGTTTTGGTTTCTTCAAAACCTTTGACTTAAAAGTTATTGGTTTTAGATTCCTCATAACTTTTGACTTTTGAACTTCAGGTTCTGATCTGAGGTGAACCTTTTATTGCTGAATCTTATTGACTGACTTCTTTAGAACCTTTGACTTTAAAGTCTCAGGTGCTGATTTGTTCAGATATTTTCACTCAGTCATCTTGGGTACTAACTGGGTTAGATTCTTACCTTTATCAGAAGCGGGCACAAAATAAGTTTTTAGCATTGTTTGAGCATTGCTTGAAGAAGAAGGATCTGAGGGGTTCTTTAGAAGCTGAACATTGGAGCATTTTCCATTATAACTCATACCTTTTCCTTTGTTCTTACTTACTCCATAGATCATGGAAGCAAGTTTAGTTCTTTCAAGACCCATTGTGTTAAAGCTTTGAAGAGCTAACTCATCCCCATCTAATGTTTTAACAGAAGCTTTATCTAAAAGAGCTTTATGATATTTTTAAGGAGATTTAAGTTTCTCTTGAGACATTTTTTATTCTTCTTTCAAAAGATCATGACCTCTCTTTAAGATTTTCATGTGTCTTGCTTTATCTTTGCAACGACTCACGAGGTCTTGAATGAAGGAAATAAGATAAGAATGGCTCATGAGGAAGTTCTGACAAAGATGAAGGAATAGAAAATACCTCATCTTCTTCGTCTTATTCTGAACCAGAGCAGGAATCAGATTCTGGATCAGATAATGTGAGAGCCATCAATGCCAGATTTTCTTCTCCTTCATCTTTGTCAGAACTTCCTTCATTATCAAGTTCATCCATGTTTCCATGAGACTCTTCTTGAATTTGTTTCTGAAGTTGTCCTTCTAGAAGCTTCCTTTCTTTGACTTGTCCTTTTGTAGATCAGGACAATCAGATCTGAAGTGACCAAGCTTATTGCAATTGTAGCAGATCATTTGATCATCTTTTTTGTCTCTGGAACTAGAGCCTTTGAAGCCACTAGTTCTACTAGAATATCTCTTGTTCCTTTTGGCCACTTGTTGAAACCTTTTGATGATAAATTTCATTTCCTCATCATCACAATTATCATCAGAAGCTTTTTCTGATTTGTTGACTCTTGAGGATCTGGGAGCTTTACCACTAGATTTCTCAGCAAAAGACTTTAAAGACATCAATTTAGACATCTTCACGGGCTCATGTCCATTCAGTTCCGTTTCATAGCTCTGATAGCTCTGAAGGTTGCTTATCATACTTTTAAGACTTAGAGTATTCAGGTCTTTAACCTCAAAAAAATTGTAACTTTAGGTCGGATTCTCACATGAAGACTCTTCAGAATCTTCTTGACATGATCTGCAAATGTATAACTCTTGTTTAAAAATTGAAGTTCTGGTACAAGAACTTGAAACTTGGAAAACATGGTTTCAATTTCTTCATCATCCTTCATTTTGAAGAGTTCATACTGGTGAACCAAAAGGTTGGTCTTAGCTTCTTTCACTTGCTGGTTACCTTCATAGGTAGCACATTAATTCATAGATAGTCTTGGAATTTGAATTATCTATGATTTTTATGTACTCTGAGTGAGGTAAAGCATCAACAAGAATACCTCTTACTCTGTGGTGTTTTCTGTACAATTTCTGATGCCAACTAAATATGAGAAAAATACACAAGAACGAAGGTTGATTTATGTATATGGTAAACTTATGCTTTTTAAGAACAACAGCTTCTGAATCTGATCAAGTTCAGATTCTCAGCAAGAGTAAGCAGTAGCGGAATAATTTAAAGTGCAGAAGTAGTAAGTAAATCACACACATAAATTATCATGATTCCTTTATAACGAGAGTAGTCCAGTCCCCTTGTCCCACAAGAGTTTTTCACTATAATTAGAAATTGGCTATAACTTGCTTAGACAAATCAGTCCAAGACTTCCTACTCAATCATACATGAAAGAGACTTCCTTGCCTAAATACATTGTTCTAGACTTTCTTGATCAATAAAACTAGAAAGAGAATTCCTTGCCAAAACACATTGTCCAGGACAATCCTTGACCAATCAAACTATAAAGAGACTTCCTTGCTCAAACACTCAGTCTGAGACTTCTTTGCTCAAACACTCAGTATGAGACTTACAAATTCTAAACAAACTGTTGAGGATTACAACAAGATGTACCTGATATACAATCAGAAGTATAAATACTACAACACAAGCAAAGACCTTGTTACTTGAGATTTCTAAGATATACAAGTGTAAGAAAATCTCAAGTCTACGTACAATACAACAACTATGTACAAAAGCTTAGAGAATGAAACATTTCTTGTTGATCTTGTTGTATATTGATATTAGTTATTATTGTTCATTTTGAATCTTTAGCTCCTTATATAGAGGGAACAAAAGAAACGTTAGAAGCTTGCTTGCACAAGTATCTTTGTTGAAGAAACGGTTTTCAAGAGAGAGACGTTAAAGTAGGTACGATAAGGATCTTCTACTTCTGAATAATATATTTATCTATTGTGTCTTTCTCAAGTAAGGCGGTCATAGACATGCTGGAGTAGACTGAAGAAATTGTGTCACACAGCCTTGAGTCTTGCGCTAGAACCCCTAGTTAACTTTCTCCATAATTCTGGAAGTTGACAAGATGGAGCTGCTTTACAGAGTACGGACCAAAAGGTGTTGTACTACGTTTCCAGCATATCATAGGTTGGGTTAATATGAAGTTGAGGTTCTATTTGAAAATCAGATTCTTATCCATTAGAATCTAAATTGCTTCTTCTTTACAAGTCATTTAACTGTGTTAAAACCAAGTTAATTGCAAGCTTATTGATCATGCACACTTAAGAAAATGTTATAATACTCTATTGTTCTTTAAGTACTTTGTTATCATCAAAATCTAAGGAGTATGAACAAATTTTGTTCCAGTATTCTATTTGAACCATTGTTGGGCCTTCTGATTACAATGGCAAACCTCGAATTCCTAGATACCATGCAGATCCATTGAAGCATATGCTCGTGAGCAGTAAACAGTTGTTTATATATGAAATGTTGACCAGACATCTATCTCGACAAGAACCAGTTTAACATTAACTTCATTTCATCTGATTTAACATCATGCTTCACTTCATCCGGCTTAACATTATCCTTCACTACATCCGATTTTACATCGTTACATGCAGCAGCTTTGGAAAACATATATGGTTGCACCATATCTAATAAGAACCAAAAAAGGAAAATGCTTAAAAACCACTAACATAAAATTTCAGATAAACACATCTGAAATTATGGTAGGTGAGTTCGGATATGTAGATGTGAACAAAGAGGAATTTTTTCAGCTCAAAATCAAGTTTAATATAGATAATGAGGGATAAAATGAGTGAATTTTACCTTAAATTACAACTTCTTTTGCTCTCTTTGATGTGATAAAATGCAAGAAAGCTGGTTTGGAATCGAAAAGTTGGTTGAAAATGAAAGTTTTTAAGGATCTTTTATTATGGAAGAAGTTTGAAGGGTGGGAGAGATGATCATGCAAAATGGTCATATATTCAATTTTTCGCTGGAGATTTTTGGAGATACATCTCCGAAAATACTGAGTGGTTAAATAATAAATCATTTAAACGAAACTGTTGGACAGTGACTTCAAAGGTATGTTCGGAGATATATCTTTGAATTAACTTTAAAATAATTCGCAGATACATATTCGAACTAAATTTTGACAAAAAGATATATTTGATACATTCGAAAATATATCTCTGAATTAGATTATCAAGAATCGAGCTTTAAATTATTTATGTAAACAGTTTTTCAGTCTACTACATATAATACATTTTTCACCAATAGTGAGGAAGATCCTAGAAATATTAAGACTTAAGATATGGTAAATACAATTTGTTGATTTGAATTTGTGTAGGAAGATGGTGATGGCCAATTATCCTTGAATTCTATTTCCATTGCCACTACAGGAGACCAATGATCAAGGTGATGGCTCTTTGAATATACTTTCTATTCTACCCTATACACCTCTCATAAATCAATATGTATCAAATTTATCCTATGATTTGGATAAACATTGGAAAAAATATCAAATAGATTTTAACAGTGAGAAAGATTATCCAAACTATGAGCAACAAAACGTGACAAAATGAAAAACAGGAATGCAATTACAATCTCTTTTATAATACTTCAACATCACATCTCATTCTACTATCCAAAAGTTCTTTTTTATTTTATAAAAATCTTGTTACAATCTTCTCAATGTAACTCTAAACAATATCTAGAAACTCTAGCTAATAACTCCATAAAATATTAACAATATCTGTTAACTCTGACAATATATGATAACAATTCCATAACAATATCTAACAGTTAGGACTACAGCACTGCAACACCCTTTGGAAAATTTGGATACAGAAGCTCTGAAGTCACAAGCTTTTGAGAGTTGACAATCTAGTCTAAAACTTGTGCCTATAAAATTAGCACTAAATTGAGCCTTTAACTTATCCAATTTAGATGATCTTCTAACCTCAGCTGCTCCAAGGACCTCAACATTGATCTTCGTTGGCTTTGTAAATATTGGAGTATGAGCTGACTGTGAAATTGTACTAAACTCATTTAAGTATGAGCTAGCTGTGTTCTTTCATAACATGACACCCGTTTTGCTTCCTTGATCTGCTTGAGTCTATCTATGAGCTTGTGACATCGTGCAATTGAATTCCGTGAGAGCTGAAATAGAAGATATGAAAAGCCACAACAAAACCTTAATTAAAATAGAAAAGTATCAAGTTAAGAGTCCACCACAAAAGAAAAGTTCCAAAATGATAACCAAAACTAGTGTTATTAAAGGCAGATGGTGGGGAAAAAAATGCACACGGCAAATATGTCACTGCCGTCCATTTCTCCAAGATTAGTCACCATGCTTAGTGGTTTTTCCACTGATTAGGGAGTAACATCTCCCTTGAAAATATCATTGCCTGTCAGCTCTGCAAACTTCTGGCCATGTAATATAAGGAAGATGAGAGAGTACAAGGTACATGGTTTGTTTTGGTGAGTGAACAAACACTGATATAAAATATCTTAATAATCCTGCCCTAAGTGGTATTCGTCATAAGCTACAATATTGTATTTCTATTACAACCCTTGGTTATATTTTCAGATTATTATTACAGGAAAATTAATTTGTGCTTGAGTCTTTCCCTTCAGTAAAGCAAGTATAAGGTGACATTGTTGACCATCAAACGTCAAAATTCATCACTGTGAACTACTACATATTCATTATAAAAAGGGATATATAAGATGACATGACTAATTTTAATGCGAGAAGACACTTACATTAGTTTCTCCAACGAACGGGGCACAATTTCACGAGGAGTACCAAATATATCATTTCCACCGATCTCCTTGGTCTTGGAACTTGACATCAGTTTCTTAACATTTATGCCTGGTTCATTTTTGAAATGTTCCACAAAGTTCCCGCTGCTTTGCTGCCTCAAGTAAACAGGTTGGCTTCTTTGGAGAAATTGCTTTCTTGTGTTGAATAATACCTTCTTAATTCCATTCATTGCTTGCTGAGATGCAATTGCAGGGAATAAAACAAGACAATTATCAGTGTAGTTGATATGTGTGAAACACTCACGTCATACAGTTAAATCTCAAATTTTATTCCGAAACAAGGCAATCATTTATTATACCTGATATATGCATATGCTTGTTCTGTCTTTAGAATTTACAGCATTGGCTTTTGATGTGGTATCCTCAGCAACAATATTCTTAACGTAGTGTTGAAACCCTTAAATACAGTAATCTATTTACAAGGAGGACCAACATAGATTTTTAGAAGAGTTAAAAGAGAAGCATTGACATTATGACCTATCATTGCTAAGGAAATACTACTTGTTTTTGGAAGTGGAAGAAGTGAAGCAGTGTACTTTAAAAGGAAAATGCCATTTCTTGCAGATTCAAGAATATAAGTGATTTTCGGAATAGACATGGTTGGGCCCAATCATGCCAAATGGAAGCTTGGTTGGATTTTCCATTAAATAATGATAATAATAGATATAGTCGGAGAAAGTCTTCTTCGAGGACTAATAATCAATGATGAGTGTGATAAGCATTTTGAGATTAAAGTGTATATTTAAAGAAAATCTGGGGATATTTTAGTGCAGAAAAAAACATATAATCAAAGACTTAATGTAAACTTATACTGCAAGTTCTCGATCAAAATCATGAAACTACAAATTTTGAAAAGGAATAACTAAAAAAGTTATACCATATGAGCATAAAAAACGGAATTGAATAGTGGCATAGTACAACTGGTGGGCCAAAACCATGTGCATTACTAATAATTATGATGCAAATGATATTCAAAGCCATGCAAACCTACAAAATACAAGTGACAAATGCTTCATGAGTAAGTATTAAAGCTTAAATACAAGTTAGATAATTACTCGTTGTGATTTCATTTCACTCATAATTGTATGGTTTTGTTATTGTTTTTGGCATTATCTCATAATAAAGAAAAGCAAGAAAATGATGATAATAATCTAAAAAGATGGTTAGGTCCCAAAATATATACCTGCTTGCATAACATTGGTTACAACATCCTGTGCTGATTTTGCAAAAACCCTTGCTCGTCATGAATGATCCCAAAACGTTACTACTATTCAAGAAGTGGCCAACCATCCAATACAACAGCACAGCTCACAGGTCAAGAGAATAGGAACCAAACCATATTCCCTCATAGAAAAGAACAACTCTTTAGCAGCCGAAGGTTTACCAACTTCACAAAACCCACCAACAATTATTCAGCTGCTCCAAGGACATCAACATTGAACTTCATTGGCTTTGTAAATATTGGAGTGTGAGCTGACTATAAAACTGTATTAAACTCGTTAAATTATGAGCTATCTGTGTTCTTTCATAACATGAGAGCCACTTTGCTTCCTTGATCTGCTTGAGTCTTATCTATGAGCCTGTAAAATCATGCATTTGAAATCATATCTGATTAGTTGAATCTGTTTGTTTCTCTCTTAATCTTTTACTGACCCTGTTTCTGTCTTTCACAATTTTTCAATTTCGTGAGAGCTGAAATGGAATTGTAGTAATCTCTTGGCCAGAAAAGCCAGCTCTGAGTTGTACTAATCTCTTGGCCAGAAAAGCCAGCTCTGGGTTGTACTGGTCTCTTGGCCAGAAAAGCCAGCTCTGAACTCTTTCAATTTTTCAGTTTCTCTCTTGCATTGAATTGTACTAATCTCTTGGCCAGAAAAGCCAGCTCTGAACTCTTTGATTGATCAGTTACTGTTTAAATGGTGCGATTAAATCCAAACAAAATTCAGATCAGCATCTACTCTTAGAATGCATTACTTTCTTTATCAGCAGAATAAAAGCCTATAAGCAACTCTGTGGTAGTAGCATCCACTGCAAATCCTTTGCCTTTCATTATTTGAAGGTATTTACTTGACCTTAAAAAATCACTTTTTCGCAGCAATCCCTGAACAAACACATTATAAGAGCATGTATTAGGCGAACATCCATTCTCTTCCATTTTCCTAAGCAAGTCTTCAGCATCATCCAACAATCCTTCTCGACACAAACCTCCGATCATGATATTATAAGTATACGAATCGAATCTCAACCCTTTAACCAAAAGACGCGCAAGAACCTTCTTTGCATCACTCAACTTTCCATCTTTACATAAACCATCAACCATAACATTATAAATGACAATATCAAGATCTAAATCACTCTCCTCCATAGCTCTAAACAACAACATCGCCTCGAAACGATAATAACATTTAATTAAACCATCCAACACAACAGCACAGGTCAAGAGATTAGGAACCAAACCATATTCCTTCATCGTAAGGAACAACTCTTTCGCAGCCAAAGGTTTACCAACTTCACAAAACCCACCAACAAGCGTTGTCCATGTCACAACATCAGGATACAAACCTTCACTAACCATTTCACTCAACAAACACATAGCTTTATCAACATCTTTAACCTTACACCAACCATGAATCAATGAATTAAAACTAACAACACTAGGCAAACACTTCCTTAAAACCATCAAATCAAAAACCTTCATAGCTTCATCCATTCGATTCATCAAACAATAACCACCAATCAATGAGTTATAAGTCACAACATTAGGTTCCTCCCCCATCCGCACCATGAAGCAAATTACACTTTTAGCCTCCAAAATCAACCCTTCTTTACAAAAACCATCCACCAAAATAGTAAAAGTTTGAACATCAGGCATTATACCCTTCTCCATCATCTCACTCAACAAAAAAGAAACATTTTTCCATTGACAATTACAATTACAACAAAGCCCTTGAATTAAACAATTATAAGTAACCAAACTAGGGTTTATACCTTTGTCATTCATTTCTTTGAACAAATCCAAAGCCTCTAAAACAAACCCTCCTTTGCAAAAACCATCCATGATAGCATTATAAACAACAACATTCGGTTCATAGTTTCTCCGAGTCATGTTCCTAAGACAAACAACAGCATTAACCATGTCTCCGATTTTAGAAAAACCGTTAACCAACGCTCCAAAAGTGTAACCATTAGCATCATAACCTAAATTTTCCATGTGGCGGGTTAAATCCAAAGCTTGTGCTACTTTTCCTTCTACACAAAGTCCGTTAACAATGGTGTTGAGAGTTGCCACAGTAGGGTTTATCCCCGTTTTGAGCATTAGGCCGAAAACGGAGAAGGCAAAGGAGGTGTGGCCCAAATGGCAGAGACAATTGATGAGGATGTTGAGTGTGTATGTGTCGGGGTTAACGCCGAAGGAATGAGCTTGTTTGATAAGGGAAATGGTAGTTGTGTAGTGTTTGGTTTTGGTTACGAAGGTGAATAAGAAATTGAAGTCTTTTACGTGAGGGAAGGGGTGAATTGAGAGCATTTGGTGGAAGAATGTGACGGCGGTGGTGACGTTTGAGAGGGTTCTGATGGTGTTCAAGAGTTCGGTTCGGTTAACGGCGTTAGGGTTTCTTGTTGTTGAAGAGGAGTGTTGGAAACGAAGCAAAGATGAAGAGAATGAGGTTCTTGCTCGCATCGTGTGTGATACTGAGTCACCAAGCGAGTTCAATTTCCGACTTTCTTTGACTCACCTGAGAGTTTTAGCTGTCTACCCACGCTTACCTTCCACATCCCAAATGTTGTGATTTTATCATATTAACTTTGGTAATAGAAATTCATTTTATTATTTATTTGTAATGTTTTTAATTTTTTTAAAAGTTGTACGTTTTATTGGATTTTTTAAATTAATTATCGAGAAATTAATTTGTCACTTCCACATTATACATGGTATTTTTTAAATTGTATGAAAAGATCAAATTTATCCAGATTCAAATTATTTACATAGATTTCAAATTCTCGTTATCAATTGAATTTTTTGAATTTTTGGGCGATACCGAAAATTTTGTGAACAAATAAGAATTTACGGTAGATTTGTAAAATTTACGGTATTGTGTACTGGAAATTTCAAAATATCTGATATTTTCGTACCGAAAATTTTAAAATATCTGGTATATTCATTTACCATATATATCGTAAATTTTGAAATTTCCGGTACGCCACAGAATATCGATAATTTTGAAATTTCTGGTAGTTCAATTTTTTTTGAAAAATACCAGAATTTTAAAATTTTCTGGTAGTTTATATTTTCCTGATATTTTCTTATTTTTCAGTGAGGATCAGAGGCAGAGATTGTTCTATTGTGGGACGAACCACTGATAGAGCTGATGTTGAAGCCCGTGTTGAGGAGGCGCAGGCTTCAGAGCTACGGGCTGGACGCTGTCCCCCGACTGATTCTCACCAGAAACAAATGGCTGAGCAGAATATGCAGTTCCACACACCTCACCATTCTGATTACTGGTAAAAATTTTACACCAGTTTATAGGGACCAGACGACGGCGATGCGCATGGCTATGGATGATTTGGAGTGTTCAGGCAGAGGTGCTACAGGAGTTTGGTGAGACTCGGGGATTTCACCTTCGGATGTCTTGGATTAGGAGGTTGTATAAAGAGCTTGTGGAGGTACGGAGGTACATGCTCCATCTGGTGGTGTGTACTCTCTTTACGAACAAGTCTAAAGTTTATATTGATGTTCGGTACTTGTCTCTCTTCAGCACACTTGACACTCCATGTTGGGCTTGGGGAGTGGCAGCCTTGATCATGCTGTAAACGACACTTGATGTTGCTTCTCGTCCTGAGACCAGGCAGCTAGCTGGTTACCTCAGCTTGTTCGAGGTATATTATAATTTATTTGATGGTTTTTATTAATTATTTGTGTGTATTTATTTGTTGGTTTTTATTTATGCAGTGTTTGATATACGAGCACTTCTCTCACATCTGTGAACGGAAGATCCAGCGTGTCTAGACATCTGAGCCATGTACGAGGGGATGGAAGGCCAAGCAAACCATTCCAGGAGGTTTGATGGAGTACCGAAGGAGGCTTCATGCTCTGACCTTGGATGATGTCGTGTGAACGCCATATACATCTCATTGCCCTCATCGTCTATTTGAGGTATCTACTTTATATTCAGGGCATATTAGATGGGAGAGCCATCTGATTAGACACTTGCCTAAGAGGTGTCTACGCCAGTATGGTTATGTATAGGGCATCCCTCGTTCAGTTCCAGAGTCTCTATCTGGTGGCATTGATAGATGGTTTCAGAATCACATCCTCACCTCCCCGTGAGATCATGGATACAACCGTTGAGATTCAGCATCCCGGGCAGTGCGAGGATAGATACCTAGAGTAGTTTCATAGTGTGTCACACCCTCGGGTCATACCACTGGCTGCATCATCTGATGTTCTGGGGCCTTCTGGTGCTAGCCCATCTACCGAGCCACCACCACCTGCAGGAGATCAGGACAGTCGCCTCCAGTTTATTGCAATTCATGCTGACAGTCTCATGGTTTGGTAAGCCCATATGGTGAGATCTATAGAGGTTTATCTAGGTTAGCCGACGTAGCCCGTGGAGGGCCTATGTAGATCTATTTTATTTTGGTTGTATTATATGTATATTTTGTGACAAACAAACTTCTTATTTATTGCATAATATTTTGTGAAAACCTAGAACAGTACAACAAACATAAAATAGTACAACAAACATAAACCAAAAACAACTAAACAAGAAAACCTAGGCACTACCAAATGATTCTGGACGTTTCAGCATCTTTATTATGTCGTCGAAGGATCTTTGGATCTGCGCATCCAACTCGATCGAACCTTTAGTTATCCTACGGCGAAATAATTTCCACATGGCCTTCACATCTTCATCATTCTTCAACTCGATTAAGTTGTATTTCACCATTCCATTTGTATCAATCCAATCCTCTTAAAACTCTACTTTTTTCACCCTTCTGTTATCGGAATCATGCAGCAAATTATTCAATGTTTCTTTCAAGGTGGCAAAGGATTCTGAGCCATCTGGAAGCTTGAATTCAACAGGAGGGTTATTGTCGTTGTAATACACTTCTGCCTTAATCAGAAATTGAGGAAGAGGCATTTTTTGAGATGTATTTTCTCTATAACAAATGCCCATATTTATACAAATTGTGATATATTCTAGACCACACAAATGTGTCGGTGCAATCAAAACCATTCAAATATGTCGCCAAAATCTCAACTGTTTAAAAAACCATGTTTTTATAACTACCAGAAATTTCAATTAATTTGAAATTTTTGATACACCGGAAATTTACGGTACCAAAAATTTTGTAGGGGTGTACCATAAATTTGGATGGTACAAGAAATTTCAATCTTTCTACCGAAAATTTCGTCTGGAAATAGTGTTCAACTCATCCAAGGGTAAAAGTGGAATAAAAAATGGGGGGTGGCATGTTTATTTTAGGGGGTGGCATTTTAATTTCTCTCAACTATCGAATTTTATCAAATAAGTATATAATTTTGCCGATTGAAAAAATATGCATTTTTACCACCATTTTCAAAATGTTCGATAAAAACTCATGTTTCTCATACATTTTTACTAGATTTTTTAAAAATATCGGTAAAATTCCATGTGTTTTACCTAATATTTTGAAAACTCCATTAAAATTGCATGCATTTTTATAAAAATGTCAGTAAAAATGCATGCAATCATATCGAAATTTCGAAAAAACTGATAGAATTTTTTTAGATGGTTTATTGGAAATTTTGAAAAATCCAGGAAAACCATTGATTTCAAGATTTTTAAAAATTCGGAAGTTCATATTTTAGTTTTTTATTTACATTGAAGACCAAAGGAACATACGAGATTATTGCTTCTAGGCAGCGTGACAGAGCTACAGCGAGGGCTCGTGTGAGGTAAGATGACGTCGATGACTCACATGCGGCGAGAGTAGCTCCAATCAGTTCTCACATGAGGCGGATAGCTGAGCAGGCTCGCGTGCCTCACAATATCCGACATAGACGAGTTAGAGGTTATGGATGGGCCATATATGTTGTTGATGAGCCATATGTTATAGTTGTTGTCAATGTCAAAACAACATATGAAAATGTAGAGGGTCAAAATGATAAGCAGATAGAAGGTCGAGACAAAGATGCCCCATCATTTAGAGACGAAGGCTTTGGATGATATGGAGGTGACTCCTCAGGCTGATACAAAGATGACTCCTCCAGCAGATATGGAGACTACTGCTCCTACAAATACATAGGTGTTTGCTACGAATGATATGGAGGGTACTCTTCTAGGTGATACAAAGGTTACTACTTTGGCTTCGACTAGCCGTTTGTACACACGGATGGAGGGTTTCTTGGAGGTCCTAGTGATTGTTCTGTGCTCACCAGATTTATTGATCAAGTGGCATTAAGATTATGGCAGGGAGAAGTGTGTGTGTGTGTGTGTGTGTTATGTTGAACTTGGTTTTATTTATTATTAATACATTGAAAATAACTGATGCTTTTTACTTTGTTTGTTACAAGGCCGGCTCCCGATGAAGGTACCCATCCACGAGGTGATGCTGAAGAAGTTCTTAGATGCCCCAATGTCATGGGAGGTCTAGGAGCTTGTCGATAATTGTGGTCTCTTTTTGTTGGTGGATTGTTCGGCGACCATGCACGAAGTTGCACTATTGTCAGCCTTTATTAAGTGATGGAATAAGGAGACATCTTCTTTTCATCTTCCATTTAGTGAGATGACGGTTACCTTGGATGATGTCTCCTCTCTGTTCCATTTCCCCTGCCAGGTATTTTCTTCACCGCTCCTCTCATTTACTAGAAATGTCCATGTATTACTGCTACACGAGACTTGTGAGTTACTAAGACTTAAGTGAGATAGAAGTTTAGGTTTAATAGGGGTGTTCACTTTTTCCAGTCTTTTCTTTGGGGTAGGTATATTAAGCTGGTGGGGCAGTCTATGTATGAGGAATCCGCTAGGGTATACATGTTAAATATTGTAGGATGTACTATCTTAACGAATAAGTCTCATGTATATATCGATGCAGGGTACATGTGGTTATTTAGTAGTCTTGACCATGTTAGTTGGGCATGTTAGTATGCTGCATTAACTGTTCTATATGTTGCACTTAGAGAGGCGACTGCCTTTGATACTAGGCAACTTGCCGGTTATATGAGTTTATTTAAGGTATAAAATTTTATTATTTCTTATTAATTTTGTTCTTATTTATGACATTTATTGATTTGCATATGTTCTTGCACAGTGTTAGATATACGAGCATTTCTCATCCATTTGTGAGAGGTGGGTTATTCCTACCATTGTTGGCTCCACACGGGCCAATAGATGGAAGGTCCAGCATGCACACCCAGGAAGTCTTCTAGAGTACATGAATAGGATTGATGCACTAACCAGTGACAATGTCACCTAGACATGCTACGCAGACCATAGTGCATCAGAAGTTTGATGACACTTCTTTTTTCCTGGTTTATCTGTGATGGGAGACCTTAGAGGCTAGGCACTTGATCGCGACTTTGTATGTCTATAAATCTGGAGAGTGCAAGTGCACAGTCCTATCGCGTAGTCTTAAAAGATATCGAATCCACAGGGACTATGAATCGATCTACCGTAATTTTGGTTACTGGGTAAAGCT